AGAAGGGTTGGGGATGGTTTCTGGGGGCTGGTTTCTGTCTTTTAAAAAAAAATCTTCTCCATTATTCCTTTGGGGAAATTTAGTCTGCCTTTTTAATATTTCCCAAAATATTTCTTTCTCTGGAGTCTTTCCTTCCTTCCTTCCTTCCTTCCTTCCTTCCTTCCTTCCTTCCTTCCTTCCTTCCTTCCTTCCTTCCCTCCCTCCCTCCCTCCCTCCCTCCCTCCCTCCCTCCCTCCCTCTCCACCTGCTTAGGTCTTTCTCTAAAATGGGAATACGTTGCTCTGTTTGCTTGTTAATTTACAGATGGGAAATTATAAATTCCATCCGACCATTCTGTGGACAATTAGTCCAGGACATTGGCATAACATCTGAGCTTTATATGTTTTATTATCCAATAATACTGTAAAGCATAATTAGAGAGAAAATATTGTGTCAGTGTTGTTAGAATAAATTGGTACAGAGATTTATTCCCTTTTTGCTACCATTTTTAAGTTATTAAAAATAGGATGGCAACTTGACATGGCTTTGGAGAGCTTTCTGAAAAATGGCTTTTTATATCAACACTAAATTAACACTTTGTAGCTTTTCCATAAGAAAACTGATCCCAAACTGGCAATTTTGTTTGTCTTGAATAACCGTTGTTAAAAGAGGTTTTCCTGAACGGAAAAAATGTAAAATATTAAAGCAAATTAATGGAATTTGTGGTGTCCTTTATCATTTTCAAATTTTCTGTCTGAAGTGTAAGGAAACACAGCCCCTCCTGCTTTGTTGTTCTGGGAAATTCTTATTCTGTGTTTTGCAGAATGGTATAGGCTGCCTTCTAGTGGCAAAGAAAGAAATCTTTCTTATAGGAACTAAATGTTTAAAGTGTACAATATAGACTGAATGTTAAATTTGATATTGTTCTAATATTTTTCCAGAGATCAGTATAGTCTGTTATTATTAGGAAGTTTGATGTACTCGATATTAAAATCCATCAAACCTGGGTTGTATATTATTACCAATTTCAATGGTTTAAGGTGACGTTGCTTGATTTGGGAAGGCTAAGAAAATTCAGGCCTAGTTTGGGCAGATAACCAGAGGACCCTTGAGCTGTAGACAAGACTGGGGAGATTATTTATTTATTTTAAAAAAACCCCTCAATGTGGAAAAGGTCAAGAAAGCTCTGTGGACATATCCTTGAATCTTGACTTGAAGGAGACTATATCCTTCATGCTCCAGTATTAATTATAGATTTTTGGGAATATGTTGGATGAGACTTTCCTCCCATCTCTCTTTCTCTCTTTTTCTCTTTCTCTCTTCCCCCTCCCTCCACCTACCTGCCTGCCTACCTAACTGAGATGATTAATCCCTGAGATATAAGCAGCCCTCCAATTGTTTCTGTATAGCTTGCAGCAGGGACCTACGACTCATCCCACCATGTTGCACCTTTCTGAGTCATGGCTGTTGGAACTGCTGGAACTGACATTTCGGAAACAGCCTCATTCTTCCTGGGCCCCCAAAAATGTCTATGGAAGTGATGACTGCAGCCATAGTGTTAATCAGGGCAGAAAAAATAGGATCTCTCCAACTGGAGAAAACATACGCAGGGTCTCTATATATATAGTCATGAACCTGTTACAGATATAAATTGTGTGTGCATAGGAATATAGGTGGTGGTTTCCAAGCATCACAGGTGGTGGCATCCAGCATCACAGCAGCATGTCCCACCCTCACTCCCCACCCTAGTCCCAGAACTAATCAGCACTTAGAGCAGGGGTCTTCAAACTTGGGCCTTTTATGACTTGTGGACTTCAACTCCCAGAATGCCTCAGCTAGACACGCTGGTTGAGGAATTCTGGGAGTTGAAGTCTACAAGTCATAAAAGGGCCAAGTTTGAAGAGCCCTGACTTATTATTCAAGTGACGTGTAATAGAGCTTATTAAGCAATACAGTCTGCAAAGTCTGCAAAGTCTTCATAAGCATCACATAGTGAGTTTGGCATCCTTCACGTGAAGTCTCTTTCCACTCCTTTTTTATGGTGGCAATTAGATCCCAGGGCTGAATGATGCTGTAGTAAACTCTTTTTGACAAAATGCCCACATTGCATAATGCAAACTTTTGCTAAGCCCACAGGGTGTGCATGCAATGAAGAGGAAAAGGGACATCACGCTCCGCAAAAAACCTCAGAGACAAAAGTTTAGCATTCAGTTCTGGTTAAAGGAAACCAGCCCTTACGAAATCAACACTTCCTTATTATTTTCAGGAAAGAAGAGAGCAGGAATAGTTTCTGAGCGATAGGGCTGCAGTCTGAATCTTCCATCTCAGAACGGGTTTAGATTTTTGCTTGTTTATTTTCTTTTTTTTTTTCTGACATGAACAAATGTAGAAGTGGTCTTTTTAAAGCTTTTGGAAAGATTTGGGAATTATCTGATTTGATGTAGCAGGTTGATTATGTTGTTCCATTCAAATGAAGTGCATCAGATAACATCTGGTGGGAACAGAAGACCCAGTGTCCTAGTCTGACTGACTGAAGTTAATATTGATTTGCTTTTTGCACAATTTCGGTTGACCTCTTTCTTGTGTTACAGATTCAGTTTCCAGGGTTGCTTTGCTCTTTTTGGCAGATGTCAATAGAAAAACAGAAGTCATAGTAATTGCTCCATATCCATGTCGCCTTATTGTTTGAAACAAGGGGTTGCTGAACACTGTACAATAAGTGATTTGTCAGCAAGATGAATTAATTTTCCCTAGCACGCTCATCATTTTTCTTATTGTCAGCCTTTTGAGGTAGTCCAGACAGAAAATAAAAACCTTGACTACTAATACTATTATTATTATAAGGTTACAGTGATCTTTCAAGTCCAAAAAAAACCTTCTCCTCTCCCCTGCCTTTACAGGGAACTAGGAAACGTCCCTTCTGAAATGCTTTCTCTACCCACATCTCTCCTTTAGACTCAAATTTCTCTTATCAGACTGTTGTCTAGGTTGTGGCTCTTCCTCCTGTCTCCCAAGGTTATTTTCATAGCCCATTATAACTATTCACATTCAACTGTTCTGTCATCTTCAGAAGAAATATGATTGAGAGTGTCAATTTCACAGTTTAGACAGCAATCAGAGGTGAGGGATCAGAGTACCCTGAGAATGACAACTGACCAAAGGACCAATTTAATACATTTTTATCTATTCATTCCCCCATCATAACATGGCCCCTTACTTAAGTACACATACGATTTTAACTTTTGCTGCGTTCAGTATTATTTGATTCCTTATACCTTGCCAAACAAAGGACTCCTCCCTTTAAGAAAATAACATAAAAGAAATAACATAGAGTGAAATAAAAAATAAATAAAAATAAAAATAAAAGAAGTAGAAAAGATTTGCAGGTAGGAAAAGAAAAGAAGAAAAGAAAAAGGAAAAGAAGTGGTTTCAAATTTTCTTTACAGCAGTTACACAACAAATTTATTATCTCTCCTCCTTTAAAGTCACAATATGTTTCTCTTTTTCACATATTCTATCCCTTGAATCAGCAAATCCATAAATCATCAATTCATTTTTTTCCACTTTCAGCAAAAAGTCTAGAAGAGGTTTCCATTTTTTTAAAAAAAATCATTCAGTTGTGTCCAATTCTCGGAGACTGGCTATGTGAATCCCTGCAGTTTTCTTGACAAGGTTTTTCAGAGGTGGTTTGCCATTGCTTTCTTCTAGGGCTGAGAAAAAGTAATCTTGTAACTTCATGCCTAAAGCGGGACTAGAACTCATAGCCTCCCAATGCCTTAACACTACACCAAACCAGCTCCCACTTGTTGTCTTATATCTGATGAAACAGGTTAATTGCACCATTTCTACATGTTCTGCCATTTTCATGATCTACTCAAATACTCATTTCATTATTTTTCCATTGCTGTGTATATAATAGTCTCACTGCAGTTACTATATACAAAATCAATCTTCCATAAGTGTTTTCTAATTGGCTATCCATGAGTCTCAAAGTTCTGCAGAGAATTCTTCATTACTCCACTTTTAATTTCATACATGGGTTCCTGTGTGCTCTCATTCTCCTTTCCCCCTTATGTGGATAGATGTACGTGTGTTTATATGTTCCCTTCCTCCTCCCAGTTGGGATGCAGCCTTAACAAACTGTTCTGTCAAGATTCATTTTCCTTGATGTAATGAGACTAAATTTCAAAACTTTTGCCAAGATAGAATGACAGCAAATATTGGTATCGGGAGAAAGCAGGCTGGAGTGAGTGCTGCTTTTCTATAGGTCCCAGATGCATGACTTGTGCTGCCATCCCAGCCTCCTTTTTAGAAACCCCTTCTGAAAACTATGTGACATTTCAACCCTGATAGCAAAAGAGCATTCTTGCCATTATCTGGCAAAGACACGTAGACTGTTTCAGCTCTTTGGCTTTCGTTGTGGAAAAGAACAATGAAACATTACAAAGTGAAATGCAGTAATAACAAACTCTACGGGCATGGTTATGTTAGAACTATTCAAATAGAAAAAAGAAGGATACTTAGGAATAAATAAAGGGCATAGTTTATTAAAACATTGCTTGCATCATGGGGCCTTCCTCATTCTGCTCTGTTTCCTGTCCTTCCTCGGAGAATTAACTAAAACCAGGGACTGGAAGTTGTGTGCATTTTTAAAGTTAACCAAGTATGTCATCTTTAAATAATGTGTTGTAAGGATAGCCTTTATAGTAGGAACTGCTGCCAGTTATGATTTAAAGTTGATGGAACATTGAAAATTTGCCCATAATGAAGCAAGCCTTTCAGTTTTGCTTCCTGTGACATAATGTTCATTTCTTGGATTTATTAAAAAATACTTTTGAAAGATACTTATGGATCAGTAGTTTTCCTTTCAGCAGAACCTTTATTTATTTATTTTTACATCTAAGATTGCCCTGTAGCCTAGATGACAGAATGAAGGACATTGCTACAAGTTGCTAGAATTGTGCTTGCTAAGTCTGTGGTTTATTACTTGTCACCAAAACCCTTTTGTTCTTTTTTTATAGATTTGTCTTCAGCAAAACGGAAGTTTGCAGACTCCTTGAATGATTTCAAATTTCAGTGCATAGGCGATGCAGAAACAGATGATGAAATATGTATAGGTAAGTCCATAGGCTTTGATTTGTACAAACGAGGCAATCCAGTGACTTAAATAGGAGGAATACAGATAAGAATGAAGTGGAACATACATACCTACAATAGTCAGGAAGGATGAGCTTACGAATTATTACAGGTAATCCTTGACTTATGACCATAATTGGGATTTCAACTTCTGTCACTAAATGATGTGATCGTCAGGTGGTTCACACTGATTTTACAATCTTTTTTTTTTTTTTTGATTCTGGTTGTTAAGCAAATCCAGCTTCCTTCATTGACTTTGCTTGACTGAAGCCCGCTGGAAAGGTCACAAATGGAGATCACATGACCCCAGGACACCACAAATATTGTAAATACATATTTCCAAGGGTCCCAATTTTGATCATGTGACCCTAGGACAAGATGTAAGTCACTGTTTTCATGCCATCATAACTGAACAGTTGTTAAACCAGGTAAAGTGTTCAAAAATTTCAAGATGGGGCCCGGTGCTACTCTGCATTATGGAACAGCTGCACGGTACAAACCAACTTCAAGGGCCACCTCATGAAGGTTGCATTACAATGACACAGTTGTACGTTACCATGAGTTACTGAAACCATGACTCTGAACTCAGGTAGGAATGCAATTTGTGTACCCTTTGGAGCTGATCAAAGGCTCTCCTTTGCCTCTAATGTTTTGTGTTGTCCTGCATCAATGCTGAATCCAGGAACATCTCCAACCTGCAAACCTTGTTCTTAAAGAGGAATGCAGTTTTGTCCAGAATCTCTATTTCTCCTTAATCCTGAAATTCAGTCCTAGAAATAGTAACAATTCATGTTCAGTTTCAGTTTGCCTGTCACTTTCAATTTCTTACAACTTATAGACATTCAGAAGCTCCAAGAATAGCAATGTATGGTTATGTATCAAAGAAATGGTTGATTACTAAGGCCAAACCTAAATATTCTCCTCTGTGGCTTCATGTTAATGTTAAATATCATGAAAAATAAATCCTCACAGGACATCACATGAGGTTTTTCCCAATATCTGTTTTTGGTAACTCCTGGAGCTATAGGAATCATTGCAAGTAGTAGCTCTGCCCCTCAATTCTGTCAAGTGTACCAAACAAATGGTCACCAGTATCAGAAGTTACTGAGAGATCTTGTAATATAAATAGGATTGCAGCGCCTCATGTTCTCTAGATAACAGTTCATCCATCAGTGTGGCCAAGGCTTTCTCTATCCGATCCAGATCCAAATCTAGAAAAAAAAAATCAAAATCATTTGTAAGAGTTCCTATAGCTTGGCTAAATATGAAAACTGGATATTCATTGTTAAACTTAGTCAGGCCAAAAATAGTTCTCTATGCCAGGGGTCCTCAACTGTGGCCACTTTAAGACTTATGGACTTCATCTCCCAAAGCTGGCTGAGGAATTCTGGGAGTTGAAGTCCACGAGTCTTAAGGTTGCCAAGGTTGAGGACCCTTGCTCTATGCAAAAGTTGGACCACTGCTTTCTTTAAGGGGGTTGGAAACTCTATCTGAAGAAGAGTATATTAATAAACTAAGTAACAAAGTCTTTCAAGGTTTTTATAAACCGCTGTGGAGCGATCTAATATACAAGTAATGGCACAAACAGGTCCAAGAACTTCAGGACTAGGGGTGACAGGATAGCAGTGTTCCAATATCTCAGGGCTGCCACAAAGAAGAGGGAGTCAAGCTATTCTCCAAAGCGCCTGAAGGCAGGACAAGAAGCAACGGATGGAAACTAATCAAGGAGAGAAGCAACCTAGAACTAAGGAGAAATTTCCTGACAGTTAGAACAATTAACTAGTGGAAGAACCTGCCTCCAGAAGCTGTGAATGCTCCAACACTGAAGGCTTTTAAGAAGAGACTGGATAGCCATTTGTCTGAAATGGTATAGGGTTTCCTGCCTGAGCAGGGGGTTGGACTAGATGACCTCCAATGTTCCAAGTTTTTATTTTGATATTATTATTATTGTTGTTGTTGTTGTTTTATCTTCTTCCTCAGAAAACAAATGACCAAACAAAACTCAAAATATGAATGTTATTTATTTGCCCCCAGAGATGTTATTTAGGACCAGATGAATTTTTTTTGCTTGTTTATCTACTTAGACCTATTTGTGAATACATGTTGAAGATAATGTCTCATCTGAAAGTCCAGACTAATCTTCCCTGTTGCTCATTAAATCAAACAGAAAATAGAAAAAAAGAGAAAAGGCTTATGTTTGCCTTACTACATGAGGGAAGATTAGTGCTTGGGGACAAGATTGTTATGTCATTCATTTGCATTGTTTCTTACCACATTCACCCCAACCCCCCAGCGTTTTATTTGTCTGAGAAATAATGAAAACAAAAGGATTACCTTACCTTAATCCTGAACTCGTTAAAGAGGGTTAGTTTTTAAGCAGCCAGGCCAGATGGACTCATCAAGTGCATGCTCTGAAATGGGTGCCAATTGGTCACTAATTTTGAAGGCCGTGCAATGTTTTATGTTCTGTTATTGATTTGACAGATTGTCCAATGGTTCTGTTGTCTTCTCAGCTATGTGGATGCAAATGCGCAAACATTCATGCATATAAAGCATGCACTTAAAATTAAATGACAACATTGATAACATTGTATAAAATTAAACCTTGTTTCTATGAACTACCATTTATGCAGTGCCCATTGTAGGGATGTGTACCTCTAATGCCTGTGTAAACATAAATAAGTGACAGACCTATTTCTAATCATCTATCAATCAATTGACAAAGATATGTTTTGTATTTTTATCTAATCATCCATTCATTTTGTCCTACCATGTGTTCAAAATCATATAAATAGCAATAGCACTTAGACTTATATACTGCTTCACAATGCTTCACAGCCCTCTGTAAGTGGTTTACACAGTCAGCATATGGCCCCCAACAATCTGGATTCTTATTTTACCAACCTCAGAAGGATGGAAGCCAGTGAGAATTGAACTGCCAAACTGCAGGCAGCCAGTAATTAGCAGAAGTAGCCTGTAATACTGCATTCTAACCACCGCAGCACCACGGCTCATAAACATACCGTGTTTCCCCAAAAGACGCACTAGGTCTTATTTTCGGGGGATGTCCTATCCACTTACTTCAGGACCACCGCAGCCAGGCCTCCCATGTCCTGACACCTGTTGCACCACCGCCTGACTTTTTCTGTGGCTGCTAGCAGCCGCTCACATCAGGACACCACGGTGGTTTTGTGGCAGGATGTCATGTGGCACAATGTGCTGGTACTGCCGTTTGGTGAGCAGTAGTTCTGTCATGAGCGGTGGCACCAGCGGAACATGCCACGTGGCAACCTGCTGAGAGTGGCCGCAAGTGGCTGCAGAAGAAGTGGGGCAGCAGTGTGAAGGGTGTCGGGGTGTGGGAGGCCTGGTTACAGTGGTCCTGAGGTAAGTGGATGTGGAGCGTGTAGGGCAGCTCTACCCCCCTCCCCTACCCAAGCTTGATTTTTATACATGTGCCTTGTCCCACCTTGTGCATCCAGAGGATGGGGTCTTAACTATTTTTGGAGTAGGACTTATATTAGGCACAAACATAAAAATCAAGCAAAGGCTTATTTTCAGGATAGGTCTTATTTTCGGGGAAACACATTAGTGTAGGTATATGATTGTATAGGGTATGTGAGTATATGTGTATGTATAATGCATTCGTGCATGTAAGTGTGCATCAATGTATTTGTACATGTTGGTTTATTTAGATAGCTACCTATCAGAAGGTATAAATGTGCTTAAAAGATAACTGCAAAATTAGAGTCTTCACATTTGGAGGTCAAATATATACTCCCGTTAGAAAGAATGCTCTTTGAAAGATGGACAGGTAACAGAAAGAGCAAAGCTTTGGGAAAGACTAGAATATGGTGTCACGTACTTAAAAAGCACAATGTCTTCAAATAGCATGAAAACAAATAACAGAGAATGAAAACTAATGTGAAAGTGGTACTTAAACATTGGTTCTTCAATAGGACACACTTGCCTTGTTTCTGGAAAGTAATAAAGATCAGGGTAGAACTAGGTTGGCCAAACAATCCATGACTTGGGCTTATGCTAGTTTATTTTGTTTTCCTAGGTCAAATACATAGCCGTTTGGGGTCAAGAAAGTTAACTTGGGTTGGACTAGATGACCTACAAGGTCCCTTCCAACTTTATTATTATTATTATTATTATTATTATTATTATTATTATTATTATCATCATCATCATCATCATCATCATCATCATCTTTTTCTTTCATACCATAGATAGTCCTTATCTTACAAACACAAGTGGGACCAGAATTATTAAAGCAGGGCAGTTGTTAAATGTGTTGCTCCAATATTATGACTTTTTTTTGCCACAGTTGTTAAACAAATAAATGAATTATATGATTTTTAAATGAATCTGGCTTGCCCCATTGACTTCATTTGTCAAAAACTGCCTGGGAAGGTCAGAAATGGTGATCACATGATCCCAGGATGCAGTAGCTGGTATAAATACATGCTGGTTGCCAAGGACTTGAATTTTGAACACGGGACTATGCAGCGGTAGTGTGAAGGCTAGTCGTGGATCTCTTTTTTCAGTGCCATTGTAACCTTGAGCAGTTGCTAGACAGACGGTTGCAAGTGAGAAGACTAAATGTATTTAGTGATCTTGATTGTCTTCCTTTTATTCCTCATAGCAAAATCCCTGCAAGAATTTGCTACTGTTCTAAGGAACCTAGAAGACGAGCGCATACGAATGGTAAGGACCTTGCTTTCGTTTTAGATATAATGCCTCGGGCAGAAGCAGAACAGAAAAGTATGGTAGTAAAGTTTGGTAAAGTATGGTGGGAATTTTTTGGGGGAGATTACTGAAGTCATACAAGTATTTATTTTCTCTTGTTAATGTACATGAACGCCATCCTGCGTTCCGGGGAGCAGCTTCCCAGGGGCTTACAGGATAGATTAGCTCTTCTCTCCCCCTGATTTTGTAGGGAGTAAATTGATAATAAAAGATCCTCCTTTTGGTGTCTGAAACAGTTTTCTTTACCAGCAACTTTACCAATGGGAAAAAACCTCATGAGGAGTGTAATATTGAGTCAGTGGGATGGGAGACCATATTTTCAACACCGTTAACATTTAGATTTGCTCACAGTGGAAGGAGTTTTTTTAAAAAAGAAAGGGCAGCAAGCAGTACTATCGATTTCTGTCCTGTTAATCTTCTATTAATTAGCCTTTGGAATAGTCAGTATCACGGTCTGTATACGTGCTATGATTAGAAAAAGCCATTGCTTTAATTTATTCAGTAAGATGTAGAACAACTTTCTCATCTTGTTACAAGCTTTGATAGATGTTGGCTAGAAGAAATTGTGGGTAATTTTTGCAATGTTCTTGTCTGTTTTGGCCAATGGCCATTATCTAGCTCAACAAATTGTCAACTTCTCTGCCTAAAAAGAATAGCAATATTCATCCGTAGGCAGTAAGTCTTGGCAGCTTAATAAGATAGCAAACTGACTGCCACTGAATCTATTTGCTCTTGCACTCGGAGAACAAAGACTGTGTTATGCAGTCCAGCTTCCTTAGACATTTTTGCTCCTAGCTGGATTAAAGTGTCCCTGATGGCATCACATGTAGAAGAGACTATAGATTTAAGTCATAGAATCATAGAATTGAAAGGGGCCCTGGAGGTCTTCTAGTCAAGCCCTTAGCCTACTGCAGGAATCCTCATACCAGCCTAGACAAATGGCCATCTAATCTTTTCTTGAAAACCTCCAGTGATGGAGGCAGGCTGTTCCATTGCTCAGGAGCTCTAACAGTTAGGAAATTCCTTGTAGCCTTACCCCCAGGCAGTAAGGAGAACAAATCTATTCCTCTTTCCTATGACATCCCTTCATATATTGAAAGACTGCTATCATGTCTCCCCCTAGCCTTCTCTTCTTTAGGCTAAATGTACCAAGTTCCCTTAGTTGCTCTTTGTAGGACCAAGCCTACAACCTCCTTATCATCTTTGTCCTTCTTCTCCATTCTGTTTCCAGTTCCTCAGTGCCCTTTTTTATCAGTGACCAAGCCCAGACACAGTAATTCAGGTGCAGTCTGTCCACACAGAATGGTACTATCACGTCTCATAATTTTGATGAAGCCTAGTGTAGTATTGGTTTTTTTAGGAAGCCGCAGCACACTGCTGGATCATGCTTAATCTGTGGTCTACCAAGATATCCAGATCCCTCTTGCAAGTACTGCTGGGTCAGGCACCACTTATCTTGGATTTCTACCTCTGGGGTGAAGTCTGCAAAAATAATGGTGACTCAAGTGAAGAGCTAAAGGGCTAATCATGGAACTAGAGAAAAGCTCCTTTGGAACGGTGTGTGAAGAGGTTTTGTTGTGCTCAGTGTAGATTGGTCCTTTGAATTGAGCTGATGTGACTCATATAGTTCAGGGGAGGCTTGAAGCCTGGGATATAAAATTAGACTGGAATCAGAATCTTCATCCTATATGCCCTAGAAATGCTTGAGCTAGTTTGTACCTTGACCTTATTCTTCATTTAAAATTCTTTTGCTTCTTCTCTTATCTCTTGGGCTATTCATAGATCTTGCCTCTGCTTCACACTCTGGCTGGCTGTTTTTTTAACCAGGAGGAAAGTTTAGCAAGTCTGCATGCCTGCTGAGCATGGTGATTTCTCTATGAGAAAAGGACGAAGCTGACGGTAGTACAAGTATGAACAAAAAACAATTGGAGGAATTCCCTCATGATGTCTTCCTTTGGGATTTAATAGAAACATGGGAAGCCAGGGATGCTACAAAATCCCTACAGAGATGATTGTATAATGACAGACAGAAAATTCACACACAGCCCTTGTGACTGACTACAAGAGCCTCCTATTTTACTTTTGAAAATGTTTCTGTGATTCTGTTCTCTGTGAATGAAAATCTAGGAGAATTTATCTGGCTAGCATTACTCTTGGCTATTCAAACATCCACATCAGTCTTCTATTATCTTTAAGTTATCTTTGTTATAGATAAAAACAAAAAACCTTTCAATCAGACACTTCTTGCTTTCTATGACTCATTGGGACTTTGTAGCAATAACAATAGCAATAGTACTTAGACTTATATACTGCTTCATAGCGCTTTACAGCCCTCTTTAAGCTGTTTACAATGTCAGCATATCACCCCCAACAGTCTGGCTCTTCATTTTACTGACCTCGGAAGGATAGAAGGCTGATTCAACCTTAAGCCGGTCAGGATCCTACTGGCAGTGGGCAGAGTTAGCCTATACTGCAATACTGCATTTTATTTATTTATTTATGAGGCTTATATACCGCTTTAAGTGCAAGCACTCTCTAAGCGGTGTACACCAGTAAGCAATGTATATATATATTTACATTGCCCCCAACAATCTGGGTCCTCATTTTACCTACCCCGGAAAGATGGAAGGCTGAGTCAACCTTGAGCCGGTGAGATTTGAACCGCTGACCTGTTGAACACAGTCAGCTAAAGTGGCCTGCAGTACTGCACTCTAACCACTGCGCCACCAGGACTCTTCTAACTATAGAATATTTTGAATAAGGGAATCTACATAATAGCAAAAGGTTTAATGGTGAAAATTAGAAAAGCTAAACAGTGTTTACACAACTTTAGAATTAGAATTGTGTTTAGGCATGGTTTTACCTTGTTTGTGGTTGCTTTCACTACATACATTTCCAGCCTGTGATTCACATTCTGTTGGAAACTTACAAAGATGGAGCAGACAGTCTGAAGCATGGAAGTTAGAATTGCAGTGTTATATTGAAACACTGAAATCTCAGAAGCTTAGGAGATCTAAGCTTCTCAGAATCTAAAGAGATCATGATTATTTTTAAAATCTGCTTAATTTTCTGGAGAAGATGGATTGATTATATTCAAAAGAAATATGAAACTGAAAAGTATTATCTTGCTTTTGAGTAGAGTTTAGATAATTATTAATAGTTTTAATTATATTATTATTTTTGCTTTAATTTATTAATATTTGTTTTGAGAAGGAGTTAAAGTGTGTTATGGTTTTGATTGATAGTATAGTTGGGTTATGTTAGTTAGATTATGTTTGTTTATTTTTTATCCTGTAATCAGCTCTGGGAAGTGGGGAGGGGGGGAAGGGGAGAGGGGCGGGGGGGTTTATGTTGTAATAAATTTTTTAAAACTTTTAATAAAAAAAAAGTCTGCTTAATTTTGGAGTTTTATGGATGTCAGCTGAAACGGCCATGTGCTTCTGTGGGTTCCATATTATGAACCTATTTATTTCTTTGGTTTGTAAAGTTGGCCATTTGTCCTTGAGTAACAACAGATTAAAAACAGCAGTACAAATGTCAACAAAAACAAAACACATACACTAACATCTTAAGCAGCACAGGTATCTACATCAGTGAATCCTAAAAATGAACTTATTTAACTTCCCGGCCCAGTGCCCAGGGAACCCCCCCTCCCAAGTTTTTAATCCCTATGGAAATCCATCCGGATTGGCCTTATGGATGTTCCACAGTGTTATAGTGATCTACCTAAAGGAAGAGATTGGGGGGAAAATCCATAGCTTATATGTTTATAGGTTAAAAAAAAAATCAACATTTACTTCAGATTGAGCTCAACTCCTGTTGACCTCATGGACATGCTTCGACAAAAAATGGTTATCAAATTTTTCATTACCAAATTTTTCATTGCCGCCTTTTGGAATGCTTTTTCAATTCCATCCTACTCCTTACTCATAGTATTCCATAGAACTCTCCCATCAAAAAACTGTCCAGGCCTAACCTGTTTAGTTTCCAAACCCAGAAAAGGGAAAGGTTATATACCAGCAATGTACAGTACTTAATAGTAGTAACTATCTGTTTTCTGAAACTCCTCAACGCTCTTTCTTATTGATTTTCTAGAGAAGCTGTGTAAATAACCACATTTCTTGAATTGTTCAGCCTTCAAGTAGTTATATGTTAACATCAGATGATTTTGTAAAATTGAAATCAGGGGATCCCTAATTATATGGTGTGTAAAATTCTGAAGCATACAGATCTTCTAGGAAGAAAAAAAAACTGTCGCTTAGTAGAGAGTAAGCATTTCTTTTCCTTTTCCTTGGCAGATTGAAAATGCTAGCGAAGTCCTAATCACACCTCTGGAGAAATTTCGAAAAGAGCAAATTGGTGCTGCTAAGGTAGGTGGAAAAATTGATAATGTTTTCTTGTCTCTTTCAAGGAGATTTGAAAAATATACTTGAAGTATCATTTGGAAGGTCTGCCTAAATCAATTTAATGTGGGCAGTTGTTTTTTCCTGTCAGATACTAAATAACCTTTCTTGGCCACTTTCTTCTAGACCAATGGTTCTCAACCTTTCTAATGCCGTGACCCCATAATACAGTTCCCCATGTTGTGGTGACCCCCAAATGGGTGTGGCCACCAATAAGAGGGAGTAGGACAGCTAGGGAAAAGGGGGAAAAATGGCGGACAGCGTGGTTTGGCGACCCCCGTGAAATGGTCGTTCGACCCCACAGGTTGAGAACCACTGTTCTAGACTTCTTCAACAGCAATCCAAAGAGGTGTGTTTGATGGTTGCCTTGAATAGTTTAATTGAGAAATGTATTGTAAATAAACAATTGTATATAGTATAGGATCCTATACATTTGTGTTCCCTTTATTTTTTTGAGCAGTATATACTGTATAGATGGTAGTAGATATTGGATAAGAATTTTTTGATGCACCAGATCTAGTTAGGATTGGTAAAAACATCAGAAGACAAAAGCTTATCTAGTCAACCATGCTGTTCCCATGTTGGGCATACCATATGCTTGTCAGAAGTTTGTGACTATGGAATTAATGAGGTTAATGTACACAAGGATACAACGATAATGTATTATAGAGTATTGATCAATCTATTTTTGTTTTCCATGTATTACTGGTGAAAATAAAAAAAAAAGGATTGTAGGTGAAAATCAGAGGAATATATGTATGTTTGTGGGAAGGGAATAAGTTTCTGCTGCCAAGGCTGGGACTGACACATCACATACAGGTAGTCCTCAACTTACGACCACAAATTTCTATTGCTAAGCAGGATAGTTGTTAAAGTGAGCTTTGATCCATTTTATGACCTTGGCTTTGCTTATCAGAAAGTCACAAAAGGTGATCACATGACCTTGGGACAGTGCAATCATTATAAATACATTCCAGTTGCCAATCATGTGAACTTTGATCACATGACCTTGGGGATTTCATAAGTGTGAAAACTGGTCATAACTCACTTTTTCAGTGCCATTGTAACTTTGAGTGGTCACTAAATGAATAGTTATAAGTTGAAGACTATCTGTAGTAGCTTTGAAACTAGACAGATTCCTCATTTGCACCACAACACTGAAGCAGACAGCAAAGCATTGACTTCATTTGTTGTCACTAATGATATCATATAGCCAAATTTGTTTGGCTGTTGAGCATAAAAATATCAATATATTCCCAGTTTCCCAATTGCCCAGGCTTGTTGAGGCAAGAAAAAATTTTCAGCACATCCAGTGGCATCATAGCATCATTAGAACTGCATAAGTCTGCGAAGAGTATTAGGAAAATTAGTGTCCCTTTCTACTTGAGGAGTTTCATAACCTGGAACCCCCCCCCTCTTTTTAAAAAATAATGAGCTAGGTATATATCTAGGTTTTGCTTTTCTGCTCCAAGGCATTGTACCTTCTACTCCTGCTTCGTTGCTATAACAACCTGAGATTTCTGGTAAGATAGATGATTTCCTGCCAGTTTCTGTTTTGTTCAGTGGTTCTTCATACAAAATTCTCCACTGCTTCTTGTTTTTGTAACACTTAAGAGTGACGCTAAAGCAGGAATCAAATTGTACAAGTCATTGGAATTAATCGAGTTAATCAAATTGTACAAGGTATTGGAATTAATCGACTTACCATTTGCACTAAAAGCTTGTTTGATAGTAGGCAGTGTTTATATAGTAATGACCACACAGAATATTTTGCTGTTGTGACACCTACATGGAAATATGAGTCTGCTATACGCTTCATCAACCTGGCTCCTTCCGAGTACTCCCATCTTCACCAAAGGTACTATCCATGCTGTGGATCCTCCTAAGACTCTCACTCTACAGCTGTTTCAAAGGACATTGGAAGATCTGGCTTTTGCCCAAACCAGTGTGATTGAAGCCCCTCTTTTCTTTGTTCCTATTTGTGTTTGTTATCTCTGCCATCTTTGCTCTTTTTTGTTTTGTGTTGTTTTCTTGTTTTTAACAATGTGTACATTGCTCAGAGTCACTGAGAGTCAGGCGCCATATAAATTATTACTTATTATGCTGTCTGTGATGTTGATGGTAATATATGGATGAAGAACATCATAGCAACCATTGGTACGCCTTGCACTCTTTTGCATCTCTGGCACATCCAAAGACAATTAGATCTTTGTATCAGTTATCAGTAATCGCGTGCTCCTTGTAAGAAAAGACATGCATATGCACACATAGCGTGGTGGAAAAACTCACTTAAGAATTTATCCAACAATTAGAAGAGCACAGTCATTTTATTAAAACTACCAGATTATAGCAAGTCACTAGTTTCCTGCTATCAAAAATAGAGAATACCAGAAGCTGGTTAACAGAATTCTCATACAGAGGTTAAAGATGAACATACTAATACATTAATTGTAGATGTTGTTTGCTTTATAATTCCTAAGGTGTACTGATAGAAGTACATGAGAATCTGTGTCTGGAAGGAGAACACTTTTTAACACAGAATACTTAGTCTTTGAAAAGTGCAAATGTCAATGTACTAATTAAATAGAAGAAATGTAAATATAGAAGAGAATATGTGTAGCTCAGGGATGAACTGTGGAGTCCTTTGTGCTCCCTGAGTTTAGTTGTTGCTTGTAGACATTTCATTATCCAATTAGGTGTAATATCAATGCCACTGATGATGTTACCTAGTTGGGTAATGGAACAGCTGTAAGCAAACAAACAGCCTCAAAAAGAGAGCAAGGACCCCACAAATAAAAATATACCCCTTATCAGTATCCTTGAGGATGATGCAACTGAGGGAGACACAAAGTTTTGAATCACAGACTACCCATTTATATTACAAACATTTGGAAGTCTAGGAGGGTGTGTGTCATGTCATGTGTATGTCATAGTTTTGGTACCTATTGTAAAGGAGGAAGATGATTTGGCAATTAAGCTTGACAATTTCCCCCCATTTCCAGTTGTTCAAAGTAGAACATGAGGTGTATTGCGATAACAAATTGCTATGTCCAGGCAGCCATAGCAAAAAGGAAATGCATATGGAGGTAAATATTCAATAGGGGAAGAAAGGAAAGGGTGTCAAAATGAAAAACATTTTCTCTGCCCAAAAGAGATAGAAAGGAAAATCTGGTAGGATTTCAGCCAGCTTCCAAAGTTATCAGCATTAACAATCTCATTTTCAAATATGTGTATTACTGGGCCTTCTTATGAATGTCAAGATTAGTTCCAATTTTATTATGTTTATTATGTTTTCCCCCCCACATCCCATAGATAAGATTCACCGGCTTATACAGTATATGCCTGCTTGAGGTGCTCAGCAAATAGGTTAAGCCAGGGGTAGGCAACCTTGGCTCTTTTATGACTTGTGGACTTCAACTCCCAGAATTCCTGAGCTAGCTATGCTGGCTCAGGAATTCTGGGAGTTGAAGTCCACGAGTCATAAAAGAGCCAAGGTTGCCTACTTCTGGGCTAAGCAAATCAGTTGTCCATCCCTGTGCCCTATATCACTGGTGGCGAACTTATGGCATAGGTGCCAGAGGCGGCACTCAGAGCCCTCTCTGTGGGCATGTGCGCCGTTACCCCAGTCTTAGGCCTTCAGCTGGGTTTTATAAACCCTTTTTGCTTTAGGCCTCTACCGTCGTGTGCCCAAAAAAAAAAAAGATTCAATCAATCAGTCAATTTCAATTTCTCAAGGGGAAAAAAAAAAAGATCTTGCAAAGTTGGAATTGATTGATTGAACTTTTTATTCCCACCCAGTCTGCTGTTACCACTGTAGCCACGCCCACCCAATGGGCCACACCCACCCAGTGAGCCACACCCACCGGGCACCTGATGATGCATAAGTGGGTTTTGGGTTGCAGTTTGGGCACTCGGTCTCTAAAAGGTTTGCCATCACTGCCCTGTATCTTTCACTAACTTGGGTGGGGATGAATAGATCCATAGTGGTATAAAATACATTTTCTACTTCAGTGAAGATATTTGCCATCTCTGCTGTGGTTTAGTGACCCCAAACTCTAGACCAGTGCCCTTATTCTGGAATGAAAGGGAATTACCAGCTAGGTTTATGAGATATTTGCTGTGCTGTTGGGAAGTGACGTTGACATTGTGGGCTACTGATCTCATGGATGATAATGTAAGCAAGGATATATCCCTAAGCATAACTTTTTCCCATATTGCCAGAATATGAAAGGCTGTGCTATCCTCCATCCAATAATGTCCTTTGACATTGAGGGAGGCATAGTGCTGGTGGGAACCACTTGGAAGAAGGATAAGGGTACTGATCTTTTAAGTGCAATCTGCTAAACTCTTATCAATTTGGGTCAGTTTTGCATGCCATGGCTAAAACAACTTAGCTTATGCTGTTGTCTTGCAGAATTGTCAAATGTCGATGATGGAGGCCCAGGCTCATTGTTATAATGGACAGAAGGGAGGAGGAACAGCCACATCTTTTTTTATTAAAGTTAATATAATGGAATGGAACAACATTCTGATTTTGCTTTTACCATACCTATGTGCATATACAGTATATGGGGGTGTTTATGTCTCTGCATGATTATTGCAACACTATTGTTTTCATGGCTTCTTATGTGGCATATTTTGACAGGAAGCCAGGAAGAAGTATGACAAGGAGACTGAGAAATACTGTGGAATATTAGAAAAGCACTTAAATCTGTCTTCCAAGAAGAAAGAATCTCAGCTTCAAGAGGTGAGATTGGCTGTTTTGTTTGCTTGCACTACTAAGTATAGGTTTACTTATTGCTGTTGTATGAAAGGCTTAAAGTTGTATGTACGTTAAGAAGCAAGTTTATTTTGGAGCTCTTTACATGCTCTCTAAAATTCCAGGTTAGAGTTTATATTACTTTTAATTAAATCAGCTGTCTATCCCCTTCAGATTTGGAAGTGTAAGGAAAATGCTGTGATCCTTTCTTTCTTCTGCAGTCCTGAAAATCCTTACTACTGCCTTTCTTAAGCTATTGTTGCTTCAGTTGTTCCAGAAAAATTGCCTTGCAATCTTATCTGTCTGTCTGTCTGTCTGTCTGTCTGCCTGCCTATCTACCTATCTATCTACTTACCTACCTACCTACTTACCTACTTACCTACCTATCTAGTTGGCTACCCATCTCACTAAAATACTTATACAGCTGCCTATCTCAAATACATGACCATGTATCAGCCTTTAGGGGTAAACCAGACAGGAAACATGACTAGATGAGTTAATTCTACTTTATTGTAAATCTACATTAATAGAATCTTGCAAGTTTGAAGGTACAAACTTCCTGCTGCCATTTTCAACCATCTGATCAATTAGGGTGGGTCCTTCCTCTGACCATTTAATCCATTAGGGGCTCCTCCCTCTCTTATCTGATAGGCAGCATCTCTTCCTCTTGTCCTCTAAGGTCATCCATACATTCCATGAGCTAACAATAAATAAAAATAAATAAGAAGCAACATTGCAAATAATATGTACAGAAACTGAGATAAAACCAAACAACATAACCATAAGCTCACGTACATATCCAAGGATCTAGGCTCGGTAATAGAACTAGGTCTTCAAAGCTTTATGGAAACCCAATAGGGCTGGACCAAGTCTAATCTCTGGACAAATGATGGTCTTGAGGGTGGGCATCAGAACAGGAAGGGTTCTCTTTCTGCATCCTGCCAGAAAATGCTACCTAATAGATGGGACCTGGAGACACCTCTCCTGCTAGAGCTAAGACAAAGCTAAGAGGACAGATAAATACAATCGAGAAGAGAATGATATCAACCGATATTTTGTCATTTTATCCTCTCTCAGATCCAATGCATAGTAGTAGCTTTGTCTTTATCATACTTGGAACCAGAGCCATTTCTTTCTGCATCTGTCTAGACCTTGGCTTTTTCAGAATCTTTTCTTTGGTGCTGTATTAGGAGAGGCGGGACAGGTTGTTACGGGGGGAAAGGTTCTTTTGAGCCCTTCTGATCTTCCCTGACAACCTTGCTATAAGGACACCAATCTACATACTACTAAAAATTCTCCTGCATGTCTTTTTGTAGCCTTCAATTGGGCAAAATGGCGCATCATAAGGCCACAGTTTTTGAATCAATGTACCTCAAATGGGCTGACTTAAAGAATGTGTCCAAAATGGAGGATGGCACATTCACAAGCAAGAATTGAGAGATCTGAAGGAACTTGGGAAAGGAGCAGTAGGAATGTTAGGCAAAAGTTCGAAGATAAGTTCTTTATTACCATAGCTCATAAACAGCAACTCAGTCCAGGCTGCAAAAAACACACACACAAAAAAGAAAATTTATAAACCTTCAGAGAAACTCCATCTTAAGGAATTTACTAATCAGTGAAGGCTACAGATTCCTTATGCAGCTTCCAAGATTCCGTACTTTGTCAATTCTTGCATTGATGCTTTGTGCTGAACTTGTGAGTCTTTGCTTCCTGGATTATGGATGGATAAAGAATGCTGTAATTTTGCTGGCTGGGGAATTCTGTGAGTTGAAATCCACACATCTTAAAGTTGCTGGAGTTGAAAAACACTGTTCTCTGACCATCAAGGTGACAATTTTACCCTCAGCTTTTCTAACTCCCTGTAAAGCTGTGTAATAATTGACTACTGGTGCCATCTTGTGGTCTGAATTTTATATTCAAGTTTGCTATTTTTCTCTATAGAGATTTGAGTGCTCCTCTTCCCCCCCCCCATTTTTTTTTCTTTTCACCTTTCGTTTCAAACATAAATAGCCGCCTTTGGAGATGCAGAGTTCCTTCTTTGTTGGCTTTTACTACCTAAAGTCTTAACTACCTATGACTAAATCTTATCCATGCAATTAAAGAGGAATAATTAACAATCAGCTCATAATATAATTGTGTGAAATGCAGTTCTTTACAGCCCAACATTAAATTGCTGGTAGTGAACTAAAGTCCTATACAGATACCAAAATTTTGGTCTAAACCAGTGGTTCACAACCTTTTTAATGCCGCGACCCCCAACTGGTCGTAAGTCGAGGACTGCTCAACTGGTCGTAAGTCGAGGACTACCCAACCGATCGTAAGTTGAGGACTTTCCCTGTCGGGAGTGCTGCGCATGCGTGGTGCCGCCCCCTGTGCTGGCCGAGGCATAGCTGGCAAGGGGCAGCGATGGCGCAGGGCGACCACTGGCTGGGCCACCAGTTGGCCTAGCCCAAGGGTGGTAAGGCACCCGCCGAGCCCCACGCGCGCCAGCAACCCTCCCTGCGCCCGCTGGCCTCCCACCTCCCACCCCTAGCCCTCTTTTACTTACATTTTTAGTAGTTGTTCAGCAGGGAGGGGTGGAAACTTCCAGACAGCTCGCCTTCGCTGCAGCACCGTTTGCAGAATGAGACTTTTGGCGGGCTCAGCAGGGCAGAGACAGCCTGGACAATTCCTATTGGCTTTTGAAAGCCAATAGAATTAGACTCTATTCAAGAATAGAATAAAAGGGAGTAGCACAGCTAAGGAAAGGGGGAAAAAATGGCGGACTGCATTGTTTGGCGATCCCCATGAAATGGTCGTTCGACCCCAAATGGGGTCCCGACCCACAGGTTGAGAACCGCTGGTCTAAACCTCTTTCTAAAGAAACATATTCTGTCTGTGGGCTACCTTTTGTTAGTCCCAGATGAATTTTAAAAACTCTTTTCAGCTTGTAGACATATTCTTGTATGTGAAGAACATAAATAAAGATCAGCTTGTTCCTGTTGTTTCTTAGAAGTCTTTTACATAAGAACTTGTCCAGATAATTAGCTTTAGATTCATAGTATTGGAGCTCGCTTTCTCTGAGTACTATCCTGATTTTTATTTCCCATATTTGTTATTCTGACCATTCCCATCTTTCTCAAGTAGTAAGAGTCCAAATGAATCAGATTACATTCAGTGTGTGCCATATATTTGTGATAAATACTCATATATATGTTTTTTTTTAAATTAAGACTAGGAAAATAGCCACTTCTTTTTCAGCCAGTAGTTCTCAAAATTTCCGTGCTCTGGAATCCCTGCTTATCATTTTATCCAAGACAAAAATAACTGCATTTTACTATGAAATATGTCTGCTTTGCAGAGAATTTGGGAGAGTATTCTATGCTGCATTCTTATCCAGTTTGTTGCCTTCCAAATGAACTCCCTGAATTCTATCGTGAGAAAAATCCTTGGATGGCTAATCAGGATTGTAGCCCAGAGCATTTGGAAGGTAGCAGAAAGTATGACTTGATATGTTTATCTGCCTATAGGGCTTCAGCTTGAACAGAGCCCATCAGCTATCATTATTCTTTAGATGGGAACTTGACAACCTATACCAGTGAGAAATCTTCAATTATCTTTGAAAAAAAATCTCAGATTCTTAGAATGTTACTCTATTCACTTAAGGAAGTTTGCCAGCTTCAGTTTGTACGTCATTAATTATTGGACAGGCAAGGCAATCTTTCTTAAGAGCTTGATGGAGCTATGTGGTAAAAGTCCTTTACTACATAGACTTTTACAATTAAATATATTTGGTTGGGAATCTTCTATACAAACAACAGCCTTTGTATAACCTTGATGTCAAATGCTCGCAGTTAATTACTTGCTTTATTTTCCTTTTAATCCACATGACGACTGACAGGCAGACAATCAGGTGGACCTGGTCAGGCAGCACTTTTATGAAGTTTCTCTTGAGTACGTCTTCAAAGTACAAGAAGTTCAGGAGAGAAAGATGTTTGAGTTTGTGGAACCAGTAAGTAAATGTTTGTGATTCGTTCAAGCATTTCTTCTCCTCTGAAATATAACATCAACAAATTATGTTACAGTGAATGCTTTAGGATAAAGTGGCTTTTCTCCCACCTCCATTAAATATGTGAGGAAACAATGCATAAATCAAAATAGCTGAGATTTGCATTTTCCTGAATTTTTGAGTTTCATGAGTTTAAAAAAATATACGCAAAAGCATAAGAGTTGGATGGAAAAAAATGTTATACTCAGAATAAGATGCCAGTCCCCCTATATTTATTTAAAATATTGCTTACACTAACTGAAATATGCAAAGAAGATAAATTTATGTATATCTTTGTTTCAATCTGCAAAGCTAAAAAGGCCTATGTGAAACTTAATCTTAAAATATTTGTTCATCCCTAGAAATAAGTTACCTTCAGTAACTAGCATAGAAACAATTTCCAGGTGAACAGAATGGAAATAATTACGTCCAAATATCACAAATATGAATATTTACCATTGGTTCTAATTTCATTCTCAGTAAGGAAAGGTGGATACTGAAGTGGTTTAATCATCAACTACTGCTGCTGTCTTTATGTTGCTACAACATTTTAATTCCAGTATTCTAAGAACTAATATACCTTCTTAGTTGAAGAAATACAGTACTGTACCTCTAAAGAAAAACAATTAAAGAGAATATTACTATAAGTTGTCCAAATGTTATAGACTGTTGGGCTATGCAGTGCTTGTGATTAGACTCTAAAAAAGTGGCTTCAGAGCAAGCTGGGATATAAATATAACACCCGTCTGTAACTCTTTCAAGCAACTATGCCTGTTGCTGAAATTGTATAAAATCTGGGAAGAGATGAAGCTGTTAACTATAGATAGATTTGTTCCTCTATTTCTGAAGCAGAATTGGACTTGAATCTGAAATGCTATGCAGTTATAGTAATTGTTAAGATTTGTTGCACACTCAGATGCTATGTCTACTTGGGATACAGTAGTATCTTATGTTCACTGATCTGTTAGCTATGAGAAGGAAATAATCATAATGCACATCAGTCATGGTTCCAGCACAAGGTACCTAGATATTTACTCTGGTAAAATATATTTCTAACTATAAACTTTAGAAGAAGATGAGTTTTGGAGAGAAAGGAGAATAAACTCCGGAAGGGGACATCAAAGCCAAAAGCAGGTTCAGAAAAGAGATTGATTTGCTGAAAAGCTCCCATTTTGTATGGTTTTGAATGTTTCAGACAAAGCCAGAAAAAGGAAATTCTTTTTTATGGGTAATGTAAGGAATGCTACATTTCTGCAACTCTATTTCTAAGTGATGGAAATGTATTATTTCAATAGTCTTCACAAGAGGAATGAGCCAGAATTGCTCCCTGGTACTACTGTATTTGATTTCCTGGTCTTTGGTACAGCACAGACTTCCTTTCTTCAATGCTCAGCCATTTCTGGCCAGCTTGGGTGGGTGGGGAGAATGACAGAAAAGAGATGCTATTCGGCTGATTGGTCATAACAGCAGGGAAAAAGAGACTGAAGGGCTACTGTTTAATCACAGGCCTAGGTAGCCAGTCTGCATCTTCCTTGAATCCTGCCTTTTCCCCTCATGCTTAGCTGTACAAGTGTATAGGGAAGAAGGGCTGTTCTCAGTGCTCTCTAGTTGCTTTATCCATTACACTTTCTGCTGCAATGGTTGAAAAGCATTGAGGACCATTAATAAGATATGTGTGCATATGTATACAGGTTAAGGTGTTGACCTAGAAACTAGGAGACTATAAGTTCTAGTCCTGCCTTGGTCATGAAAGCCGACATGGAGGCATTGGGCCAGTCACTCTTTCTCAGCCCAACCCACCGCACAAGTTGTTGTGGGGAAAATTGGAGGAGGAAGGAGTGCAATGTATGCTGGCTCAGATTTATTCTCAGTTGGGGACCAAGTGTGGTATAGTCCTTTGGAGATGCCCAGGGAATGGACATGGTCACTATTTGATCCTGTTGAACCTGAGGAAATGGACAGGGTCCTTGAAACTATAGGTGCAGCCACCTGTGAATTAGATATTTATATATCAAACTTGCATGAGATCTTGCATGAGATGGCTCGTCTGGACCCTTTCTAATTTTAGGTTCAGACATGGGGTACAAATGTTGCGCTTTTGGATGACCTCTGATAGGAGTGGGATGAGGGAAGCGTATTGGGAACTGCCTTGACTTAGTTGGAAGAGGGATTGGGAGTGCCAAGAGTTGGTTGTAAGATGGATGGCTATATAAGTGTTTTAAACAAATAATATACATACATGCATGCATGCATGCATGCATGCATGCATGCATACATACATACATACATACATACATGGATAGCCCCAAGCAGAGTGCATTGCAGTAGTCTATAGGCCTTGACCAGGGCTTGAATGACTGAAAGAAGAGCGTCTCGATCTGTGAAGGGCCATAACTGGTGCATAACATGAAATTGAACAAAGGCCCTCCTAGCTATGACTATCATGTTATGTTGTGCATTCCTGATCTAGATTGTTAAAAAAAAAAAATAGGACAACTACAGTTTATCTTTAAAATATCATGCAGTTTACCCAATTCAAAAAGCTGCATGATTTATCTAGGAATCAGATTCGATATAATGGGGATCAGAATAGACACCCTCAGGGCACTATAAGTCATAGGTTGATGTATTCAGTACCTCATTCAGTACCAGATTCTGGGAATTTGTTCCTCTAAATTATGTCAAAGTAGTTTAAACAAAATAATTCAGAAAGATATTATAATGAAATCACTGAAAATTACCAAAATACCCAGCAAAACCCAACTGGATCAACTTCTTTTTTGACCCTGAGGAGAGAAAACATGTTATGTAATCAGGCAGTTTGAAATGGATCAAGATAATTGGCCTCCTTTAGGAATGATTGATCTTGACTTGCTGCTACATAGCTTTGGATCTTGCCCCATTGTGAAATGTTAGAAACATCTGCCAGCTATCTGGAGAGGATTATGGTGTTGAGATTATGTTGAGTTAGGTAAAATGCCCAGTGACCTCATGATGAAGGTTGATGTAAAGATGCTTGTGACCCACATTTTTGACATTAGATTTATTCAGTAGAAATTGATTACCTTAAAGTTCCTTTTTCGTAAGAAAAAAATTATATGCATCTTTCTGCTGGTATTTTGTTTTCTGGGAATCAATGAGTTCCAATTTTGTTTTCTTTTTTTAAATGAATCATTGTATTTCTTTGTTCATTATTCTAAACAAGATAGCTATGGGGATTATTTGGCTTTTCCCCCATGCTGTGTTGGCCCTAAATCAGACCATATGCTTATGCTCAATTTTTTTTTTTTTTAAAAAAATCAATATTTTGTAATTTGCCCAACCGTTTTTACATTTCTGAAGCATTTGGAAAGAAATTTGTATTCTTTTTCTCCCAAAAAAGAGAGGGAAGAAAAAAGAGGAGAGAGATTGAGAATTCTTTCTGTTCTTTGAAATATCGTGCTATTTTAAGATTCAACAACTTTGCTGATTATTTATATTTTATTTTTATTGAAGGATGGGTGGGGATCCTTTCCTTCCTTCCTGTAGCTTTGAAGACATAAAGCCTTCTACTTTACATGTTTTATTATTTAATGTCATTTCTGTGTTTGAACTGCAGATGGCACTGGAAACAGCAGATATGTTGCTTAAATTTAAATATATGAGGTGAATAATCGATTCTGTGGTTCATGCGCTAAAGAACTGCAAGCAGAATTTCTGTTTAACAAATCGTAGCTGAGTGTGGTTGAAAAGGGCTGCAGGCTTCTTATGCTGACCTCTCTGTAGATGCAGAAAAGTTGGAAATAGAAAAAGCATAGATGAAGCAGGCATTTCTGGTTTCCTTTCAATCCTTTGTACGTTTGAATGCTTGAAGGAAGCTACTGCTTCTCCTGATTTTCTCTTGTTATTCTGCCTGATTCTTCCCTCAGTTATCTGGGAGAAAAGACATAACTGCATATATGTATATGATAGATAGATAGAATACTTTATTGGCCAAGTGTAATTAGATACACAAGCAAATTTATGTATGTTTTAATTTGTGAAGTCTTACAGCGATATAAATGGGCCAAAGCTGTTAAAAATTTTTTAGATCTGTCCAATATTTTGTTCTCCTCTGTCTGAAAAAAGAAATATGTAGAGTCACAAAATGATTTGAAATTCTAGTCTTTCCTTAAGCATGACAGCTGGCTGGTGACTTTGGGACAATTATTCTCCCTCACCTCATCATGTTGCTGTTGTGAGGACAATAGAAGGCAGGAACATTATGTGCACCATTTTGAATTGTACTAAATAAAGGTCGGATGATGATGATGGGAGGATGATCACGATCATGATGTAAGATTTAGGATAATTTTATATGTTTATTTGCAAAAAGCTTCTCTGTGCTCCATTTGTTACTATCAAATAAGCATGCACAGAAATGAATGAAACAATTAAAAAGTGAAAGTTAGAATATTTCGGACATGTGATGCGACACCCAGAAAAATATGGCATATTCCATTTAATCCTCCAGGGAAAGATTGAAGGCAAATGAGGTCCAGGCAGAAGAAGAACATTATGGTTTCAAAATCTAAGGGGCTGGTTTGGACAAAACTCAGCAGCACTTTTTCGTGCGGCTGCTGATAAAAACAGGATTGCCAACATGATTGCCAACGTCCGATAACGGATATGGCACAAGAAGAAGAAATGAATTCAATCTGATTTGAACATTTGTTGAATTTCAGCCTTAAGAAATAAAGAAGGGAGCTTCTGTAATTGTTAACCTTCCATAATGAATCTACAGTGGATTAAAAGTGGTGTGGAAAGAAGATTTCAAGAGATATGGAATGGAATTTTGTGCAGTTTTAAAAACTTAAATCACAATATTTCTGCCAGTCCTTTCTTAAACATGTCCCTGGATATCCACCCTCTAAATTTTTGGTTTCATTGTTGGTGAAGTTATAAAGTAGTTTATAAAGTGTACTCGGAAACAAATTCCAGTGAGTTTAGCAGAAATTACTGTGTTATGCATAATGGACTGCAACCACAGCATCCTCTCTGATTTTATGGTGGGAAGAAAGAGGACAGGAGCAATTATCCTCTACTACAGTGGTTCTCAACCTGTGGGTCGGGACCCCATTTGGGGTCGAACGACCATTTCACGGGGGTCGCCAAACAACGCAGTCCACCATTTTTTCCCCCTTTTCCTTAGCTGTGCTACTCCCTTTTATTCTATTGGCTTTTGAAAGCCAATAGAATAGACGCTCTTGAATAGAGTCTAATTCTATTGGCTTTCAAAAGTCAATAGGAATTGTCCAGGTTGTCTCTGCCCTGCTGAGCCCGCCAAAAGTCCCATTCTGCAAACGGTGCTGCACCAGTTGAGTAGTCTTCGACTTACGACTGGTTGAGTAGTCCTCGACTTACGACCGGTTGGGGGTCGCGGCATTAAAGAGGTTGAGAACCACTGCTCTACTACATAAAAAGAAACCAACAAGTTCTTGTAATTCAATTCCTTGTTTTGTTTTTTTCCTCCCCTGCAGCTGCTGGCATTTCTGCAAGGGCTGTTCACATTCTACCACCATGGCTATGAGCTTGCAAAGGATTTCAGTGATTTCAAGACAGAGCTGACAATCAGTATACAAAATGTAAGCAGAAACATTTATTGAAGATAAAGGATCTCTTTCACGTGTTGTTCCTCAACTTTTTTGCCCAAGCATATTTTGCTATGTCTATGTTAATAAAAGGGAAGGTGTGATGGGTCAGTGGTTAAAATGCTGGGGGTTTTGGTTGGAAAGCCAACAGCCCAGGTTCAAGACCTGAGTGCTGTGTCTGACAGCTCTTTGCCCCAGCTGTGCCAACCTAGCAGTTTGAAAGCATGCAAATGCAAGTAGATAAACAGGTACCACTTCAGTGGGAAGGTAATAGCTCTCTGTGATGTCATGTTGGCCACATGACTGCAGAAACATCTTTGGACAGTGCTGGCTTATTGGCCTTGAAATGGAGATGATCACTGCCCCCTATAGTTGGCTACAACTAGCGGAGTAAAATCCGCAGGGACTCCTATGTTAATAAAAAGTTTAATTTGTATAACTATAAACAAAATTCACCTCTTCTTCCTCCTCCTCCTCCTGGTAAACTTGGTGATTAAGCAAACAATTTCAAAATAGCCATATTTATTTTTGTCTTACGAATCAGATATTTGTCTTAATACACGCTTAAATGTCCCATAAATTTCTTTTTTTTTTTATTGAAAATTTTTAGATTTTACAAAACAATTCCCTTCCCCAAACCCCCCCAACCCTCCCCTGCCCTCCCCCGACCTTCCCAGAGCTGAATACAGGCTTAATTAAATTTTTTTCAAAAAGTCTTAAAACAGATATAAACCATAAACAAGTCTAAATACATTAATTAAACAAGTTGTAAAATAGTTAACAATAATATATGTATAAAAAGACAAAGATACAAGGAAATACAAGAAAATAGGAAGAAAGAAAAAGAAAAGAAATAAAAAGAAAAGAAAAAAAAAGAAAAAAGTCTATAAAGTCTATAAAATATCTTAAGTTTTAAATATAAGTTATTGAAAAGCTAAATAATATTTTTTTATATCCAACTTATATTGTATAAAGTCTATCCATTTTTTCCATACCAAAAAATACTTCTCTTGCGATTGGTCTTTCAAGAAAGCCGAAATCTTTGCCATTTCCGCCAAATAAGAAACTTTAAAAAACCACTCTTGCAGGGTAGGCAAAGATTCCTTCTTCCAACATTGCCCTACTAACAACCTTGCTGCTGTAATTAAATTTAACATCAATGTAGTCTCTTTAGTATCACAATCAGAGACAATACCTAACAAAAACAATTGTGGGGTAAATTTTACCCTTCTTCTAAAAATTCTTTGGATATTCCACCATATCTTAATCCAAAAAGCTTTTATATTTTTACATGACCACCAAATATGATAATAAGTAGCATCCAAACATCCACATCTCCAACATTTAGGCTGTAAGTCAGGATACATACGAGACATTTTTTGTGGATCAAGGTGCCATCTATAAAACATTTTATAAAAGTTTTCCCTCAGATTTTGGGCTTGTGTAAATTTAACATTCCTCACCCAAATAATTTCCCAGGTATCTAATAGAACCGGTTCTTCAAAGTTTTGTGCCCATTTGACCATACATTCTTTAACTAATTCTGCTTCTGAATCCAATTCTACTAACACCCCATAAATTCTCTTAATATGGGTTCGTCTTTGATCTTTTATTTGTTTTAATAAATTCTCATCTTCTCTAAGTAAACCCACATTACGATCTATCTTCCACCTCTCCACTATTTGTCTATAATGAAACCATGAATAAATAATATTTTCTTGTATTAAATCTTCCAAGGATTTTAATTGCCAATTTTTACCCATCTAAGTAGTTGTGCATAAGAAACACCATCCAACTTGACTCCTCTCCTTATCCCTTCTATCGCATGCCCAGGTATAGCCCATAGTGGAATTTTAAAATCACTTCTATAATATTTCCTCCAAACCCGAAATAAAGAAATCCTTATAATATGAGATTTAAAAACCCTATCAACCTTTTTATTAAAAATTAAATAGGCATGCCATCCAAAAAGTAGATCCCAACCCTCCAAGAGGAGTATTTCTACATTTGTTAAATTAACCCAATCACTTATTAATGTTAAAACCACAGCATCATAATACAATTTCAGATTCGGTACCTTGAGTCCACCTCTCTCACGAATATCCTGTATAATTTTAAGTTTTACTCTTGGTTTTTTCCCAGCCCAGATAAATTTGTTAATACCTTTCTGCCATTCATTTAAATTAGCCTCATTCTTTAAAAAAGGTATCATTTGAAATAACAAAAGAAACTTTGGCAAAACATTCATTTTGATCGCTGCAATTCTTCCCAAAAGAGATAATTGCAACTTCTCCCAGTTTTCCAAATCTCTTCGTATATTGACCCACAGCCTTTCATAATTGTTTTTGTACAATTTTGCATTAGAAACAGATAAAATAACCCCCAAATATTTTACCTTGTTGACAACCTCAAAATCTGTCAACTTAACCAAAGTCTTAAATGTCCCATAAATTCTTAACATACCTAAACTTCTTGGTTACTTTTTCAAGAATGTATCATCAGATATGAATATTGGTGCCAGGACTTAATGTAAATAATATTTACTCTCTTCTTACACTGGCAGCATGTTTCATCAATAAAAAAGAGATTTGTGCTTCCATGTACTTAGGAGTTTCTAATAGCTATTGTCCTTCAAAACCTCTCTCAAAATCTTTCAAAATATTGAGATTTGTTACTGTATTTTCCGGCATATAAGACAACTTTCTAAAGCGCGGAAATCAGCGCCAAAGTCGGGGGTCGTCTTATATGCTGGAAATTACGGTAGTTTCCGGTGTATAAGGTGACTTTCTAGGCATGGAAATCGGCGCCGAAGTCGGGGGTTGTCTTATATGCCGGGTCGCTTATATGCCAGAAAATACTGTATATTTTATAGACATTTTTCAGTTGTCTTAAGACTTTTTGCCCTCTGTCTTTTGCAAAGCTTTATATAAACATATGATGCCTGGATATAGTTCAAAAGAAGCTGATAATGTATGAAAAGCTTAAATGAATCCTACTACAGTCTAAATTTACAATGTTAGAGTGTCTGTGCATTCTAATCTTGAATATACATCAATCAATCAATCTATCTATCTATCAATCAATCAATCAGAATAGAGCTGGAAGAGACCTTGGATATCTTCTAGTCCAACCCCTTACCCAAAAAATAAATTCACTATTAGAACATAATCATTTTATTTCTTCTTAATTCTCATATACATACATACATACAAACATACATACATATATATGTATGACAGTTAGAACAATTAACCAGTGGAACAACCTGCCTCCAGAAGCATTGAATGTTCCAACACTGGAAGTTTTTAAGAAGAGATTGGACAGCCATGTCTGAAATGATATAGGGTTTCCTGCCTGAGCAGGGGGTTGGACTAGATCAGTGGTTCTCAACGTTTGTGTGACGGCGACCCCCGTCACACAAACGTGCCGCGCATGCGAGGCGCGCCGCGCATGGGGGCGGCGCCCCATGCGTAGCATGCATGTACAGCACCGCCCCCATGTGTGGCACGCATGTGTGGCGCGCCCCCATGCGCGGCGCGCATACGCGGCGCCGCCCCCTGAGGGGGAAAAATGGAGGATCGCCTTGTTTGGCGACCCCTGAGAAATGGTAGATCGACCCCAAATGGGGTCGCGACCCATAGGTTGAGAACCGCTGGACTAGATGATCTGCAAGGTCCCTTCCAACTACTACTACTACTACTACTACTACTACTACTACTTCTTCTTCTTCTTCTTCTTCTTCTTCTTCTTCTTCTTCTTCTTCTTCTTCTTCTTCTTCTTCTTCTTCTTCTTCTTCTTCTTCTTCTTCTTCTTCTTCTTCTTCTTCTTCTTCTTCTTCTTCAAGACTGTTCTGTCTCATATTACTAAACAAATCTGGTTGGTATGGGTCTCCTTCATTTGCAGTTCTGCTTCAGATAGCATTAATTCTTGAGCCAGTCTTGTTTCTTACATAACCGTAATATAATATTCTGTGTATTTAAAGCTTGACTGAAATACTTTCTACTAATTTTCCATTAATCTTTAAATGCAGACAAGAAACCGTTTTGAAGGCACCCGATCAGAAGTTGAATCCTTGATGGAGAAAATGAAGGAGAATCCTCATGAGCACAAAAACATCAGTCCCTTCACCATGGAGGGCTACCTTTATGTTCAGGAAAAGCGTGAGTACCTTCATGCTTACTTGAAATAATTTCTTTACACTATCTCCTTGAATGGACTTGGAAGCTTTTATTTCAGTCAAGAAAATAGATAACTATTTAAAGAGGCCAACCTATCAAAAATAGTGCCATAAAAATCAGAATAGAAACACAAGTTAAGATAGACAAGAAAATGGTAAGTGGGCACCTGTCCAGCCTAGACGAGTTCAAATCGCCAAGACCAGATGGATTACACCCCAAGGTTCTCAAGGAACTGGCAGATGTGATCTCAGAACCACTGAACTATATTTTTCAAAGATCCTGGAGCACAGGGGAACTAGCAGAAAAGAGCTGATGTAGTTCCCATCTTCAAAAAAGGAAAAAAAATGGACCCAGGAAATTACAGACCTATCAACCTGACCCCAATACCTGGAAAGATCCTGGAAAAGATAATCAAACAATGAATCAGCGAACACCTAGAGGCAAACAAAGTCATTACTAAAAGCCAACATGGTTTTGTCAAAAATAGATCATACCAGACAAATCTTATTGCATTCTTTGACCAAGTGACAAAATTAGTGGATCAGAGGAATGCTGTGGACATAATTTACTTGGACTTCAGTAAGGCATTTGATAAAAGTAGATCACAACTTACTACTTGACAAGATAGAAAAATGTGGGGTAGACAGCATCACCACCAGATGGATCCATAGCTGGCTGACCGGCCGTACTCAGCGTGTGGTCCTCAATGGAACTGCATCTACATGGAGGGAAGTGTGTAGTACGGTGCCCCAGGGCTCTGTTCTGGGCCCAGTGCTCTTCAACGTCTTCATGAGCAATTTGGATGAGGGGATAGATGGGGAACTCATCAAATTTGCAGACGACACCAAGCTGGCAGGAATAGCCAACACTCCAGAAGATAGGCTTAAGATACAGAAGGATCTGGACAGACTTGAACACTGGCCACTATCTAGCAAAATGAAATTCAATGATAAAAAAAGTAAGGTTCTACATTTAGGCAAGAAAAACCAAATGCACAGGTATAGTATAGGATAGTAACTGTGAGAGGGATCTCGGAGTCCTAGTGGACAATCACTTAAATATGAGCCAGCAGTGTGCTGCAGCTGCCAAAAAGGCCAACACAGTGCTAGGCTGCATTAACAGAGGGATAGAATCAAGATCATGTGAAGTGTTAATACCACTTTACAATGCCTTGGTAAGGCCACACTTGGAATACTGCATCCAGTTTTGGTCACCGCGATGTAAAAAAGATGTTGAGACTCTAGAAAGAGTACAGAGAAGAGCAACAAAGATGATTAGAGGACTGGAGACTAAAGCATATAAGGAATGGCTGCTGGAATGGGTATGTCTAGTTTAACAAAGAGAAGGACAAGGGGGGACATGATAGCAGTGTTCTAATATCTCAGGGGCTGCCACAAAGAAGAGGGAGTCATGCTATTCTCCAAAGCACCTGAAGGCAGGACAAGAAGCAACGGGTGGAAACTAATCAAGGAGAGAAGCAACCTAGAACTAAGGAGAAACTTCCTGACACTTAGAACAATTAACCTTGAACAACCTCCTCCAGAAGTGGTGAATGCTCCAACACTGGAAGTTTTTAAGAAGAGGCTGGACAGCCATTTGTCCGAAATGGTATAGGATTTCCTGCCTGAGCAGGGGGTTGGACTAGATGACCTCCAAGATATCTTCCAACTTTACTACTACTACTACTACTTCTACTACTACTACTACTACTACTACTACTACTACTACTATTATTATTATTATTATTAACTGATGCTGTTAGTCAGAACCTCTGGAAATCCCAAAGACACTTTTACCAAAGGTAGCTGGACTTTCACGAAAGTCCAATTGCCTTTTTTAAAAGCACCTTTGGTTCAACCATGACCTGGATGATTGAGAATTTCCATAGACAACTTCTGGAAAGGGTAACTCCTTAGAGAAATAGTTATTCCTCTATTTTTTCCCTCTTTCAGTTATTTTTAGTGAAAATAAAAATTACTGGGATCAAATATTATTACATATTTTTAATGACAGCAAGTATTACATATTTCACTGTATGCACTGTGAAATCTCTAGGGTAACAATATTTAAAACTGTTTAATATCTTCATTATCTTTCCTATAAATATTGCAACTTTGTTTGGCTAGTTTGCAGATAGGAAATAAAGAACCCCTTTAGATATTGCTGCAACACAACTGCTAGCATGTATAGGCATTAGCTGTATTTCCAGACTACCAAAATAGGCAGCAGCATCAGAAGAGCCAGAAGTTCCCAACTATTATAAAGATGAATAGGCAGATGAATTTTATTAATGTATAAGAGAAATAGAAATTATGTGGCTAAAACAGATTTTACTTCCCCCCCCTTCTAATTAGTCTGCTACAATATGTTTACACTTGCAGAAGAATTGCTATGCCCTTGAGCTTTCAACCACATTGACTGCAACCAGCTTACAGTTTCTTGCTATTTCTGTCCTAATTGTAATTAGCAAGAATAAAATAAGATCCTTATGAAACTTACATTTCAGGAGAGGTCTACCAAATGTAATAGATGTTCAAAATAGGTAGTCTAATTATATTTTTGAAATAATATCAACACCTGTATCTAAAAGGTTGTTGTGCAGAGAAAAGCTACATTGAGTATTAAAGAAGAATCTCTTCTCTCACGAATGAAGACAAAATATATGTGTCCCAGAATAATATTGCAGGATCCAATCTGGTCATTTTGCATCTCCTATACCTTTTCTTCCAGAGTTATTTTTTTTCCTTTCCTTTAGAGTATTTTTTAGACTTACTAGAAAAATATTATAAATTCTAGAAGTACTCCCTTTTGCTTTCAAGGACTGAAATTGACACAGTAATTCAAATAAGAGTTACTATTTGTGACTTCTAAATCCAATATTTTGGATACAGAAACATAGAAAATTAACTGCAGGAAAAGACCCAGTGGTCCAGTGAGTCTGCCCTTTGGGTTTGGGTTTTATTTGTTATTTATTTTTTATTTTATTTATCATTTTGTCACATGAAGAACATACATTTATCCCAAGCATCTTTAAACTCAGTTACTGATGATTGAGCCATTATTTCTTCTGGATGTTGGTTCCAAGCTTCCACTACTCTTTCTGTAAAATAATAATTTCTAACATTACTTTTGAGCTTCCCTCCTATCAAGTTGAAATGATGCCTCTGTGTTCTTGGCTGCTTAATATTGAAAATCCTGCCTTCTAGAAACTTTCTCACATCCTTAATATATTTAAAGGTTTCAATCATATAATGAATTGTAGCCTGTGCAGCAAGTTTGATTCCATCCTTCCATATGTTAAGATGTACATTCCCACCCGCAAGGCTAGCCAAAATGGGTTCAAACATCTCACCCCTATGCTGGAAATGTAAAACAGCAATAGGTTCATACTACCATATGTGGTGGGAATGCCCAAAGATTCGTGAGTATTGGAACAGGACACGAAACTGGTTGAGGGATATTTTAACACTGGACTTAGAGTTAAAACCTGAACTCTTCTTGTTGGGAATAACGACAGAAAAATACGACAAGGAAACAATATACCTGCTGCTACACATCCTGACTGCAGCTAGGCTTGCTTTAGTGCAAAAATGGAAGAGCAAGGAAATTCCCACAGAGGAAGAGTTAATACATAAAATATTAGCATGTGCGGAAATGGACAGGCTCACAATGATATTAAAGGATAAATGTGGATCAGTTTATTATGAAACCTGGGATAAATTTTACCGCTGGAGGAATTTGAAGAGGACGGTCGGGATTAAAGATGAATGTTAAGACAGAAATATATGTTATTTTAGAACAAGTATTGTATATATAACTTAGATGTATATGTAGAGATGAAGAATTGATTGTAAAAAGTGGAATAATCTGATAAGAATGTATATACTGGAATGTCACATCAAATCCAATGTTTGTTTGTTTTTAACTGTATTATAAATAAAATTTGAAAAAAAAGATGTACATTCTATTAAAATTAGCTTGCATTTGTATCATACCTGAAATATACAATTTCAATTCTGACTAGGTCATTTTGGGACATCCTGGGTAAAGCATTACTGCACATATCAGAGTGAATCCAAACGAATAACGATGGTGCCATTTGACCAGAAGTCTGGTGGAAAGGGGGTGAGTAAAAATGCAGATGATTTGTCATGGAGATAGTTATGATTATTTTCATTTATGGCTAAAATAAAATACGGTAGTTTAAAATGGAGTTGGCCAAAGTTACTAATTGCATGAAGTACTATAATTGTATTTAAGTAGTCCCTTCAGATCTATCTCAACGTATTGTTCACATGGTATGATGAATCTAGATCACATGTTCACACCTTCCCTTTATAATTAGTGTTTTCCAGTACATTTAAATAGAGTTATTATTTCTTTTGATACGAAGCGATATATTTCTGGGCATAAACAATAAATTCATTCAGTTCTCATCGCATATGAATTAATTGTATTTGTATCTTTATGATAGAATAAGAATGTGCTGAAATCTACTGTTCTAAATGTTAGGACACAATTCACAATTAAAAAAAAAGAGTACATAACTGTGCATATCAGACACAAGGATACTTTCAGCTTAACAAGGCTTCCTTGTTTACCAAAATGTTCTTTGCACCATTTCTCTTACCATTATGATCTGCATATATATCTAAATTTGTATATGTGATGTGCATGTAGGGATGTACATAATGACTATCTGTGTAAATGTGTTGTGTATAAAGTCATGCATCTGTGCACATGCACGATGTTAAAAAAATAGAATCAAACTATCTCAGTTTAGCTTCCACAAATTTAGGCATTATCCTAGAAAAGAACTTTCTATGGAAAAAAAAAGTTAACAAAATCTTACTTGAAAAAAGAGAGCTCCACATAAAAAGCTTTCAAGTATTTAATACAAAGATTCCAACATAGTAATTTGTTTCCTAAACAGGTTTGTTGCAATTAATGTAATACTAGGAAGATGTCTCAGGGGACTTGCTACTTATATGAATTTCATTCCTTAAAGGGATGAGATGAATTTTCATATTCACTTTGTTTTGCCCTGCAGCCTTTTGCTTGTCTGCATTTGCATTGGCAATGCTTCTAGAGCTATAAAGATTTGCAGGTGCTATGTCTCAAACAATGTTCCTCTTATTCTTATTCAGTCAAGTCATTTCCTGAAACAAAGTCATTACTTGACACATCCCAATTAATAGCTTTTTGCAAGTATGACTCTAGTAATGGGATACAGGCATATTCTTCAAGGGCATTCCTGCTTGGACCATGATTCATGGTCTGGGAATGTTTATTTCATTTTGTGGCACTTCCCTATCAGTGTAACTTTTAGAGGCCATTTGGAGCTTCTCATCTGCCAGGTCTTTCTAAGAATTTCTGAATTGAACTAAAGCCAACAACAGAACCGAACATTGCCTGATTAGTAACTGAGCAGGTTTAGTTTCTTTTCTGAACTAGATTGGAAATTGGTAAGACTGGCACTTGGTTTTCCCAGCAGTTAAAAGACAATGTGATTGTGATTGTGACATGATAGAAGTGTTCCAATATCTCAGGGGTTGCCACAAAGAAGAGGGAATCAAACTATTCTCCAAAGCACCTGAAGGCAGGATAAGAAGCAACGGATGGAAACTAACCAAGGAGAGAAGCAACCTAGAACTAAGGAGAAATTTCCTAACAGTTAGAACAATTAATCAGTGGAACAACAACTTCAGATGTTGTCAGTGCTCCAACACTGGAAATTTTTAAGAAGAGACCGGAAAACCATTTGTCTGAAATGGTTTAGGGCAGGGGTTTTCAACCTTGGCAACTTTAAGACTTGTGGACTTCAACTCCCAGAATTCCTCAGCCAGCAAAGCTGGCCACAAGTCTTAAAGTTGCCAAGGTTGAGAACCCCTGGTTTAGGGTTACCTGCCTGAGCAGGGAGTTGGACTAGAAGACCTCCAAGGTCCCTTTCAACTCTATGATGATTATTATTGTTCTTGTTGTTGTTGTAATTAGGGATAAAAACACAGACCATTAGAAATTCATGTAGTCCTTGACTTATAACCGTTCATTTAGTGAACATTTGAAATTACAACAGCACTGAAAACAGCACTGAAAAAAGTGACTTATGACTGTTTTTCACACTTACGATGGTTGTAATGTCCCCATGGTCACATGTTCAAAATTCAGATGCCTGGCAACTGACTCATATTTATGATGGATACAGTGTCCTGGGGTCCTTCTGACAACAAGGTCAGTGGGGAAATCAGATTCACTTAACAGCTGTGTTACTTCACTTTAACAACTGAAGTCAGTCACTTAACAGGAAAGGTTTGTAAAAATGAGGCAAAATTAATGACTATCTCGCTTAGCCACAGAAACTTTGGGCACAATTGTGGCTGTAAGTCGAGGACCACTTTGTTCAGTGCTGGAGATAATATTCCATCGTGGCCAATGCTAGGAGCACGCAAGAGACACTCTCCAGTTTTGCTTTGGCTTGGCTGAACAGGAAAGCGCTCTTTGAGGCAAGCTTTTAGATTAGACAAAGCTTTGCTCTGATCTGTCAGGGCTGTCTTATGTTCTTATCTCTTCTAAGATTGATAGATTTAACTGAGGTTTAAATAAAGCTTCTGTTTCTCATTTTGCAAAGCGTACCTCATAGGATATACAAATCCTTTTTTCTGCTAGCTGGTTTTAATTGATAATCAGCATGGGGTGAAATACTGGTTCCAAAGTAAATGTTTCTGGCATTGAAAGCAAAGTTGTTTCTAGATTGGATTTCTTTAAAAAAAAGAAGAAAAAAAAAGAATTGGCCTAGTATGCAACTTCCTTATCCTGCCAGGGAGAAGACGAAGCTATTATCCTCAAATCTTGCACTCGACGGAAGACTGATTCTATAGAGAAGAGATTCTGCTTTGATGTGGAAGCTGTGGATAGGTGAGTGTATTTATTAAATTTACATCCCAGCTTTTATTCAGGAACTCTTGTGTGGCTAATACAGTATATCGCAGTGATGGCGATCCTTTTAGAGTCCAAGTGCCCAAACTGCAACACAAAACCCACTTATGCATCGTCGGGTGCTGGGTGGGTGTGGCCCATTGGCTGGGTATGGCCCATTGGCTGGGTGTGACCCATTGGGCGGACGTGGCTGCGGTGGTAACGGCAGACTGGGTGGGACTAAAAAGTTCAATCATTCAATTCCAACTTTGCAAGATGTTTTTTTTCCCCACGAGAAGTTGAAATTGACTGATTGATTGAACCTTTTTTTTTTTGCACATGGTAGCGGAGGCCTAAAGCAAAAAGATTTTATAAAACCCAGCTGAAGGCCTAGGACTGGGCGATGACGCGCGTGCCCACAGAGAGAGCTCTGAGTGCCGCCTCTGGCATCTGTGCCATAGGTTCGCCACCATTGGTATAGCGCTTCAAGTTGAGTTTGTCTTTTGCCATTCAGTAGCTAGAACTATAGAAGCAGAAATAAACTACTTACAAGTCATTCTTCCCCACCGCAGATCACCATGTGCCTTCATCAAAAAGTGCAGATCCACTCAATTGAGTATAGCAGGAACATCTCTCTCTCACGCACACATATACACAAATCCCAAATGTAACCCAGCCTTACTTCAAAGGAGTTCCAGGGTCCACCAGCAGGCAACTCTGAGCTTTTAGAATAAATATAACATATAAGCCAACAAAGTTCATGAAAAATTTGCAGACGACACCAAGCTGGCAGGAATAGCCAACACTCCAGAAGACAGGCTTCAGATACAGAAGGATCTGGACAGACTTGAACACTGGGTACTAACTAACAAAATGAAATTCAATGGTGAAAAAAGCAAGGTTCTACATTTAGGCAAGAAAAACCAAATGCACAAGTACAGCATAGGTGGCACCATGCTCAATAGTAGTAACTGTGAGAGGGACCTCGGAGTCCTAGTAGACAATCACTTAAATATGAGCCATCAGTGTGCTGCAGCTGCCAAAAAGGCCAACACAGTGCTAGGCTGCATTAACAGAGGGATAGAATCAAGATCACGTGAAGTATTAATACCACTCTTCCAATGCCTTGGTAAGGCCACACTTGGAATACTGCATCCAGTTTTGGTCACCACGATGTAAAAAAGATGTTGAGACTCTAGAAAGAGTACAGAGAAGAGCAACAAAGATGATTAGGGGACTGGAGGCTAAAACATATAAGGAACGGTTGCTAGAATTGGGTATGTCTAGTTTAACGAAGAGAAGGACAAGGGGGGACATGATAGCAGTATTCCAATATCTCAGGGGCTGCCATAAAGAAGAGGGAATTAAGCTATTTTCCAAAGCACCTGAAGGCAGGACAAGAAGCAACGGGTGGAAACTAATCAAGGAGAGAAGCAACCTAGAACTAAGGAGAAACTTCCTGACAGTGAGAACAATTAATCAGTGGAACAGCTTGCCTCCAGAAGTAGTAAATGCTCCAACACTGGAAGTTTTTAAGAAGAGACTGGACAGCCATTTGTCTGAAATGGTGTAAGGTTTCCTGCCCTTCCAACTTTACTACTATTATTATTATTATATTCTGTGCAACATAGAGACATAGTACCAAATGAAGACAAATCAGGAATCATATGCAGGAATTCTTCATCCTACAATGGCAATTGTAGACTGGGATTGCCATTGTAAGCAATGCGGTCATAAAATGTGACCATTTACTTAGCAACTGTAAATCCCAGATTAAGTCCCAGTTGCCATTGTTAAATGAATGCTCTGGACATTAGATGAAGCAACCTCTTGCCAGGACACAATCTCCCTTTACATAGAGAAGCAAGACCATAACATAAGGTGGGAAGCAATAGAAATTTTAAAACAGCACAGAAAGAAAAAATCAAGAGAATTCGTAGAACCACAACACTGCTTCAATCTTCTTTAGGGAGTTGCCAAAAGGTAGAAAGACTTCATTCATGCTTTGATTTGAGCACTCTGCTGCAAATTTGAGGAATGTGAAATCTAAAGAATAATTGTCTTTTAGTCCACGTAGTAATTTAAGAGACATGGATTGTGTCAGTTTTCTCATAGGATAATTCCTCAAATTATCTTCTAATTTCTCTATAGAGTTTTGGGGTATTAAAATATATCCCATATTTTACCTCAGTAACATTAAGGCTGTATTATAAAAATATTATTATTCCAATATTGGTGAATGACAGGTTAATAAATAACAATTTTTAATAAATCAGCATGGTCATATGAAATTGCATTAAGCATTTTATCTCATAACGTAGAGATTCAAAATTGTAATTGTGACTAGATTTATTTTGATTGGCAATCATATGTCTTCTCATGACCATTATAATGTTAAATAGGTTCAACTTAAAACTGATTTAGACCAGGGCTTTTCAACCAGTGGTACGGGTACCACCTGTTGTACATTGGCACCTGGCAGGTGGTACGCAGCCATTCTAGAAAAGTGGTAGCGGGGAGGGGAATGAGCTGAACTGGTGGCAGCACCGCACAAGCCTGAGCGAGAGATGGCTGGAGCTGCAGGGCTGTCAGGGCTCAACGAAGGCGCCAGGATCAGCACTTCTTCGGGACTGTCAGGGCTCAATGGAAGCGCCAGGATCAGCGCCAGGCTCCAGCTAGAGCTCGGCGCTGATCCTGGTGCTTCTGCTGAGCCCAGAAGAAGCGCCGATCAGTTGGAATGTTGCAGCATCTCCAGGGTCTTGTGATTTACATTCAGATGCTTGGCAACTAATCCATATTTATGACGGTCACAGTGTCCCAGGGTCATGTGAAGTGACCAAAACCTTCTGCAACCACCCAGCAGATGGGGGGAATAAAAACCAAACATTCCCCCCATCCCACCCCCACTGCCAATCCTCAACAGAAATGCTCACAACAATGAAAACCTCGGACAGGAGGAAGAGTGCCGCTGGGTGGGCAGGCAGGTATCTTGCTCGGCTGTGGCTTGGGGGCACTTTTTTCAGTGCCACTGTAACTTTGAACAGTCACTAAGCGAACTGTTGTAAGTCGAGGACTACTGTACTTTATCACTTTTTTCCCTTTTTTTTTGGTCATCAAGTTTTTGACACCTTGCTAGGCGACTGGTGATATGTTACCATATTCTAAAAGTGGTACAATGGGTGAAAAAGTGAAAAGCCCTGATTTAGACATTCAGTTTTGTAATATTTATACTTAAAACAAATATAAAAAGTTTAAATTGTCCCAGACTTACGTGGTTTTTGGAGCAAGTTGTTACAAACAGCTAGAAAACTAGTGTTTGATGTGGGAAATTTGGAGTCTGACCATTTCCAGAATGATTACAACAACCCATTTTGATTTCAGAAGCTTTTCAGTTTTGATCAGTTTGCATATTCCTGGTTCACAATGAACAAATGCCTATGCTTTTGATAATGAATGGTCTACAGTTAAGAGTGATTAAATTGCTTACTTGGATTAACTGTGAATTAATCTACCTGAAAATAAGACAAAAACATTTTGATTCTATATTTAAGCCTACATAGCCTCTTGAAAACAAAATGTCAATCCATAAGGAGAATTAAAATACATTAATATTTGATGTTATATCTTTTGGGTTCATAAACAATTTCATAAAATATTGCTTAGTTTGTACAGTACTGTTTATGTGAGCATGCCACTTGATTTGTTTTTGCACATATTCCATACTTTGTTTCTTTGAGATCTAGCTACATGAACGTCTTTAAAAAAGGGACCTTTGTATATCTGGTATCTAGTACATAACTTAGATGTTTGTTCTATTTGTGTGAACATTGGGAAAGAGAGCTGCACCTGGAAATCAGGGTTAAGGTCTTCTTGGAAATAGCTATCTGAGGCAACAATAGGGTCAAGCTGCATTGCCTCCCCCACTAGTGTAAAATGTACAAACAGTATATGAAATTGCTTAAATTAGCACAAAGTAGCACAAGTGAATGTTGTAATATAAAAAAGCTATATTTTATATAAGCAACATATAGTGACTACAATAATATATTCTCTTTGACCAAAAAGTTTCAGTAGAATTAGCTGTTCACTGCAAAAAACAAAACAAAACAAAACCTGATTAACTGCTGGAAAAAAAACTATGGTGATTTGTCGACTGATTTGTCTAAAACAGGAATGTTACTTATACACTATATACTCTCTTATTTTGCCCTTGAAACCTTTATTTCAAGTATAGTCTTTTTCCTTTGCTTGTTGGGAGTTTTATATTGACGTTCTCCTCCAATTCAAGTCTAATTGCTGATTACAAACCCCAAACAGTGCAGCCAATAGTGTTGGGGAAAAGAAAAAGGTCGACATATTTTCTTCTCTCCCAAGGTGGGTGATTCTAGATATATGGACTAAAAAGGCAGTAGATCACGGGTTCTCAACCTTGGCAACTTTAAGACTTGTGGACTTCAACACCCAGAATTCCTCAGCCAGCAAAGCTGGCTGAGGAATTCTGGGAGTTGAAGTCCACAAGTCTTAAAATTGCCAAGGTTGAGAACCCCTGCAGTAGATACTGTTTCCGGGCTCTTTATCATGAGAACACTTTCCAGAAACAGAAAATGTGGAAGAGATGCAGTATGGCTTGAAAAGCACAAACAAACAAAAAATTGTAGATGCGATAGGCTTGATTTTTGGAGAGTGGCGGGAGGGAAGATAAACGTGCTTTTCTGGTTTACTAAAAACCAGGATCGAGGTATATGATCAACAATTCTAAAGGTCAATAAAAGCTGCATGTCCATTTCTTCAATGTTATTTTAGCTGTAATTCCTGTAATAGGAAATCCAATTTAAATGATTATCTTTAGTGAACAGCACTGACAGTATTTCTGCTGAAGTATTTACTATATACACATACACTTCCTTAACAATTGCTTAGGAATGATACTTGAACACTGGTGAAAAAATAATAGGCTCTTTATATTAAGCCTATTCAGCTAATATAAAGTGACTACTATT